CATAAAAGTAGAGCAGAGGCTGCCGTCCTTCACCGAGTCGGCGAATAGTGTGAAACTGTGCGAGGGAAATCAATGGCTGGGGAAGCAGACGGTTGACAAAGAGTTCTTATCTGTGTAAATTGCATCTCTGTAATACATAATAGCAAGACAGGAACATGCCGGAGGAAAGATACATATTTCATATATATATATATATATATACACCCCAAACCCTGAACATCCCAGATGGCAGAGACCTTCAGATGGAAGATGACACTAAAAAAAGCGTAGCCACCCACACATTAATTTTTCTTTACTCGCGCCCGTCAATAAGTTACTGGCGTCATAAAATAAACCGCAACGACGTGTCCTAAGTGATGCCCCATGAACGAGAGAATAATTATAAGTTTAATTGGCTGACGATGGGGTGCGAGCTCGCGAGCTGCGGCTTCTGGCTGAACTTCGGGTGCAGGATTCTCCTTTATCTCGCTTCATATTGAGCGGAGATGAAATCATTTGTCCAGGTTAACGCACCGGATGTTGGACAGCAGCTCGCGGTAAGACTGGTGCGGGTGCGCCTCTGCAATTCCGGAGTCAGTGAGATGTGGATAACCCACACGGGGTCAAGACATACCGACCACCTTGATGAACGCCTGCAATAGCCGAAAATCAACACCGTGCACGGAAGGCCGGAAGTGACACGACACGCACATCGCTAGCTGCGCCGACAGGGACCCCGTTCGCGAACGTGTCCATGCTTGTCTCCGCGTCCTTGCACCCTGATAGCGAGATCACGTCCGCAAGCGTCGATTTCAGCAGGCGTGCTCTCTCGGTCACTTGTCGCCCTTTTAGCCGCCCTCCCGAGGTGTACTGCCGCACTTTGTTAGCGGGATGATATATAGATATAATTATAGTGAGAGAGAACGCACGATGTACGGAAGATCTGTGCTCGGGGGACGCTGTGAACAAAGTGATTACCCAGGGGGGGGACACCTACCGAGCATTGTGCCAGAGTGGCATGACTGCGGATCGCGGTGTTAGTCCGGGATGCGAATTGATGATGACTTGGAACGGACATCGAATACGGCCTGCAGGCGAAAGCTGAATGTTAGCGGACAGGGAATGCGGTGGTAGGCTGGGTGCGTACAGTAAGCCGACACTGGGCGGGAAGGGGCTTGACCTGGTTGGAATAATTGTATTAGTGCGAGTCGATGGAAAAGGCGAGGTACATACCATGATCGCGTGCATTTCCTGGACAACTACAGTCAGCGGAATAGGGATATGCATATCAGATAAGGAACGTACATCGTCAACGATGTGCCCGTGCCGTTTGTAGTCCACGGGAAAGATGACTACACAATTAAAGTGGTTTAAGGAAGTAGACTTCCATGATGCATCAGAGCACACACCCTCGTCGTACCCGTCCACCTCATCTCCGTCCAGGTCGGGCGTCTGCCCACCGTGCCCGGAGTCTGTCCCGTTTGAGTTAGTAACATCAACAGAGGAGGGACTTGACGCACAGTGGAAGAACAGTGCGTCGTGAGGGCGCGCGTCGCGCACAAGCCAGTGCATCGCGTCGATGATATTTTTGCGCGTGGGCTGCGAGCGCGGGTGCGGGCTGTCGTCCGTGAGCACGACCATATCTTCCGCCTTGTACCCCGCGCGCCCTAGTCATCAGAGATTTGAAGCGACACATCGGACAGCATTATTGAACAGACGCACGGACGAGGAAGCTGGAGACGTTGTGCGCGTCATTGACGCACCCACGCAGCTCGTGCCGCTGGCCACGGTAGTTGATACCGATCTGAGATTCATGTCAGGCGCTGGTACTCAGAGGTGTATGCTTTACGGCGTACGCAAAGTGCGCGCCGTCGGCCGGTGCACTTGGAGTATTGGAAACGCGGGACGGTAGGTATTGCTGGAGGATGGGGGCGATGTACGACGACGGGAAGTTGACTGGATTTGTGCTGCTGGCGCTGCGCTGGACGACGAGAGCTCTGCGGTTGGTGGTGGCGATGGTTTGGCGGTTGGGAGACCAAATACACAACGCCGGGAAGAGTTTCTCCGTGAACGTAGACGCTGACTCGGTTGGTCAATTGTATCAAAGCTATAGAGCCGACCTTACCCCCGATCCGGATCTCTGCGACGATCGCTCAGTGTCTTGAATACTGGACGAAACCAGTTAGCTCACCGCAACGACGTAGGCATGACCAGCGGAGGAGAATTGTGTGCTTTGGAGCTTGTCCATCCAATTCTCGACGGCCCGGGTACACTATGAAGGTGGCCATGGCCGAGTTTGTTATGTCTGTTCCGTGGTTATTCAGTGGACTCCATGTTGGATCGTAGCACGTACGGCACAGACAAACTGGTAGTAATGTGTTAATTCGTGTGGGGTTCCTAACACGCAGGATGCGCACCACGGTATAGGCATTGTCACCCTTGGTGAAGCTGTCAGACCCCCACCAGTAAAATCCCACATCATTTTTGACAAGTCGTTGTACCGCGGGGGGGGGAGGGGAGAGACGAAACGTAACTCTCGAAAACTTGACGAAGACCGTACTAAAGTAGGGACTAAAGCTGTTGAGCAGCCGGAGCCAAAAAAACCCCGAGCGTCACCGTGAGGTGACTTGATAGATTGCTATTCAATTCTCCTTTCACTGCTTTCCGCCACAACACCGCCTCCAGCTATTTTGAGCGTCCGTATTTAGCTTCACTCTCCAGCTCCTCGCCGGCCTGTATTTACCACAGGCATCCTATTGCGATAATACAGGTGTCTTCTATCGCTCGTGCCTGCCCAAGCACTCACGGTTCTCAGGCTACTTTCCACCTTAAAGTGTAATTAATTGGAAACCCACTCACCGGAGCTCACCATCTTATCCGAAGCTATCCCTGGCGACAGCGATTTCTCATTGGCCGGCGCCATTTTACTTCTTCCGTCCATTCTCGGGAATGCAAAAGGGGAGCCCAATTTTGGACTCAGGAACGGTGGACTTGTCTTCGCTGGCCTCGTCCCATCAGTTCAATCACACGCATCTGGGAATTTATCCAGAACGATGGATATCGCCCCCGAAAGAGCAGATTATGATCTTGATTGGCCAAAAAGTCTCAGCGAGCTGTTGAGCTCAAGTTGCCGCTCAAATACCTCTCAAATAATAAATAGACTACTGATGGAAACGGCCATTTGCACCGCTAGTTCCAACTCGTGTGAATAGCTGCGCGGAGTGTGATGTGTTCTGCGAATTTTCGAGCAAGGCATAAAGTTCAATGTTGAATATTGAACTCAAACAGTCACGGCACGATGGTAGAAGCGAAACCGGTAGACTAAGAGAAGAGAGAGGGAAAAAAATAATCAAAACCTCTATTATAACTCGGGCCTGAATTGAACAGGCAGCTTCTGCCGAACAGGTTTCTGGGGATTTTTCAGAGGCGGACTATCCGCCACAGAATCGTCCCTCAGCTGTACTCGACGCGAAATAAACCAGACTGCGATACGCGATCAGCACACGTGACCGCGGTGAAGCGGTGACTGTGACGTGACCCTCTCTTTTCACTACCGCCACGATGCTCTCCCTGCTCCGCGTTCGCGCCTTGCCTCTCCTGCGCCTCGCACCCCGCGCCCCGCGCCCGCTCTCTGCCTCCCTAAGAGCCCCCCTCCGCGCCCTCTCTTCTACCGCCCCGCGGAACGGCCCCCTTGGCTCCGATATCTGGTCCGTGGTCTTTGTCGACTCTGCGGCTTTCTTCCACCCCGCTGACTCTCCTCGCTATTCAGCTTGAACTGTACGTCAATTATCACGGATACGGCTCCGTGTTGACCGACTTGGACCGATAAAGGCCGGCGCGAGGGACATCAGCGCAAGGACTGTAAGGAGCCGACGATTTGCGTCGCCTGCGGTGTAGAGGGCCACCAGGTGTGTTTCGCAGCACAACACACGTCTCTCATCTGACCAAATGCCCCCACAGCGCCGCGACTGCCCGAACCCCGACGCCGCGCGCCTCGAGGCGCTCAAGACCGCGCCCCCCCGGTGGTACGTCCCCTTTCTTCACACGTATCGTGTTCCTCACCGTTTTTCTATTAATGCAGCTTCCGCTGCGGCGAGGAAGGCCACACGATCCAGAAATGCACCAAGCCACAGACGTGCTACGCCTGCAAGGAAACGGTGCGTTTCTGGTCCTCTTCTACCCTATTTATTTTCCTCGCGCAAAGCTAACACGCACGCTCCTCAGGGCCACATCATGCGTAAATGCCCCACACTCACTGCCGCTCCCGCCTCCACCCCCGCAGGCGCTGACGCCGCGGCTGCCTAGCGCTGGTTGGACGCGCACAACCTCGTCCAATTTGATTGAGATAAAAATCCAGCCCGCAGCCAGGCTTGCCCGAGCCGTGTGCGGATAGGGCACATCCTGTTGCTTGTTGGGTAGAAAAACTATCGCGAGGAGAAAGTCGCCGTCGAGTGTATTCAACGACGATAAATATTACCGTCGCGAATGAATAAATCCTCGGAAGCGGAGGAGATGCCGCCCGGTTGGAACGTTGACCGTTCATGTCTCGACAGTTAAACCTTCATCTCTTCAGGCACAAGAGTCTGTAATTATGGACCATGAAGTGCATCTTACAAGAAACAAAACCACGCACCCGCCATCCAAAAAAAAAACCATCCTAAGTATGAGTCGACCCTGATTCGAACAGGCGCCTTCTGCAGTACTACTATCACATCCAAAACGACGGAGTGCAGACGCGGACCATCCGCCATCGAGTTGGTTCATGTATTGAACGAACGCAGGGAGGTGAGTGAGCTATAGTGACATACCTTCGAAAAAAGTTGGATATCTGTATACCACGCATGACTCGAGCCTGATGGGCACCTTCTGCAGTAGCTGGATTAAAAATGGCTATGGAGCGCAGACACGAACCATTCACCACCGAGTCAAATCTTAAGTTAAATGCAGGGAAATGAACTTATTTCAAATTGGAGGAAAAAGAATGACGTCACGACAAAAAAAGGGGATAGAAACAAGGCCCATGACTCGAGCCTGATTCGAACAGGCGTCTTCTACGGTGCTCGTGTTTACAGAAATTCGATACTAAGCACAGACGCGGACCATCCGCCGTCGAGTCGGTTCTTGTCTTGATCGCAGGGGAAATGAGTGAGCGTGTTTTAAGATTGAAGGAATCCCGAAAGGAAAAAAGTTCAGTGACCAGCACCAGGCATGACTCGAGCCTGATTCGAACAGGTGCCTCAAAGGTGCCTTTTGCGCAGCATGATGTTGCTGTTCCATTAAGCGCAGACGCGGGTCATCCGCCATGGAGTCGGTTCTCGAATGGTAAGGAAATAAATAAGAGAAATTTAGCAATATAATGGCCTACAATCATAGGAAAAAGGTTGAATTATTACCGCCCATGACTCGAGCCTGATTTGAACAGGCGCTTTTTGCAGTACTCCGATCGCAAAATTATTGAGTACAGACGCGGACCATCCGCCACCGGGTCAGTTCTAGGTACCAACACATGGGAGATGGGTGAGCTTGTTCCTGAATTGAATGAACGATAATTCACCCACGGAGTTAAAAAAAAGGGTTCGAGCAACATGACTCGAGCCTGATTCGAACAGGCAACTTCTGTGGCACACGGGCCTTACTTGAATGAAGCCTAGAAGTGGACCATCCGTCATCGAGTCGGTTCCTGTCTTGAATGCAAGAAAATCAATGAGCTTGTTTCGGAATTGGACGAAAGGGAATGACGTCGCCGTCGCTCACGGGGCAAAAAGGGGAATCGAAGAAATCATGACTCGAGCCTGATTCAAACAGGTGTGGTCTACAGTACTCCCTTTAGACGGCACATCAAGCGACATATGCGAGTCGGTTCTAGGACAGAACGCAGGGGATGTGAGTGAGCTTCTCGAATTGAGGCAAAAGGGATACTGCCTTATACCAGAAAAAGGATAGAACCGAGTCATATGAATGACTCGAGCCTGATTCGAACAGGCATCATCCGCTATCGAGTTGGTTTTTGCTGAGAGAGATGAATGTGCTCGTTTCCGGATTCCATACACCCACGGGGGGGGGGGGAGTTTACAGTGAGTACCGCGCATGACTCGAGCCTGATTTGAACAGGCACCTTCTGCAGCTTGGCGAGCGGCTTTTATTGCGCGCAGCAGCGGACCATCCGCAACCGAGTCGTTTTTGGGTTGAACGCAAGGGACGCGAGTGGGCGCCCATGATTTAAAGCAAAATACCCTCCTCCAGAAAGGCAAGGAGATAAGCGAGCTTATGTTAGAATTCAAATGAAAGGTTATAATAGAAGGGCGAGGAGTACACGTGTACCCAGCACAGAGGTCTCAGTTAACCAACATGGAGTGCCTTACGACAACAACTGAAAACTGAATTGTGAGCAAAAAACTGGGAAGGTGCGAAATCAAGCTTCAAGACCCGAGCCTGATTCGAACAGGCACCTTCTACGGAAAGGTTCATTCAGGCGAATGAAACGCAGACGCGGACCATTCGCCATCGAGTCGATTCTTCGTGCTAAGATGACCCAGATATACGGGGGCTCAAAGATGAATGCGCACGAGGCCCGGCGCTAGCGGCCCAGACGGTGAATGGGCGGAACCAGAGCAAGCGAAACGACAAGAGCTGGAACTGACACAGCAAGTAAGCATAAAAGAGGAAACGAAAACCGAAGCCCAAGAATTGGGACAGTTGCATGCGGGAGAGAAGGGACCCAAGATACATATCCCGAGGAAAACGTGTCCCGAAAAAAAGAGCGCGTACCTCCAATATTCCAAACAGCAGCGCGCGACGGATCCCGAGGCCGAGCCCCAGCAGTTTTCCAGCCGAAGCCGAACGAGTTATTGGCACCGTCCAGCTAATCGGGTGACGATTCAAAGTAGGTCTTCGGAGAAGGAGAAACATCCGATGCTTAGTTCCGGCGTGCATGACGATATTATCCACAGCATCTGGTATTAGCATCCAAAATGCATCCGTTATAACGAGCAGTCTGCGGCGAACGCTATGAAATGATTTTTTCTGAAAATGTGCTACACTGCATGCCGGACTCGTCGCTCCCAAGCCCGGCAAACCAGAGCGCACACCGGCCAATCAGCGGGCGAGTCGCGGAGGAAACTGACGATAAGATCTGTCGGCTCGTGTGCTAGTGGATTTGGTTCCTTCATGCTGCCAGGGAAAGGGAGTGAGCGCGAGGTGTGGGTGCGTGAGACTTGAGTGAGAGAGCAAGAGCCAAGGATCTCATCCGACCCACCGGCCCTCGGAGCCCAAACGGAACCAAACCACATCCATCAGTGGCGGTGTCTCTTTTTTCTCCTCTACATCGTACGGTCCAATTTGTATGAGGTGTGTTTCCATTTCCAAATTTCGTGTTGACGTGACTCCATTGCAGAATCGACTGCGAATTTGCCGTGAACGACACCTATCCAGTTGATGTACAGGATTCGGAGCGAGTCCCGCTTGGGATCGCGCGATAAAACTCCGTAATCTCGCTAATATGCGCCCTTGTCTGCCTGCACACTTACCAATACTAACCGTCTGTTTTTTAGTACCAATGCCCACGAACAAGTCGCCGACCGGCTTTGCCGGCATGCGTCGATTTTAACAGGTCCCGAGGTATGTTTTTTGCTCCCTCTGATCTCATTGTTGGACTAATATGTGGGAGACGCACGCGCATGGCGCCGATGCGATGGACCTCATGGCAGTAGGGTGGCGGACTGACAAAGTTCAATCACATCCTTTTCTGACAACGGTCAAGCTTCCGCAATTCATCACTTTGTGTCCGACTCGGTGTCTTTCTCTCTGGTCTGCTGTTATCAATATTTTCGTCACCTAGTGCGCACTTTCGTTATTCCTTCCTTATTTCCGAATTCTGTGTTTCTCACCACACGTTGCTCGCAGCTGAAATTCGTGTTTGCAGGTGCTCGGTGGAATTCTACCCGCATTTAATTAATGGTTCTACATAATGTGTTTATTCGCATCGTTCACTTTTAAGTTGTGCTGCTCACTGCCTTTGCAGATTTGTCATATGTTCATTGCCGAGGAACTCTCGAGTTGCTTGTTCAATGTCTCGATATAAAACCGTTCAAAGCAAGTTCATTCGTAGCGTTCAAGTTGTATCCTAGGCAGTATGAATATATATGCCGAGTAGCATCAACGTCGGGATATTCCATCTCGCATCTCAAGTGTGTTTTCATCCATAATTTACTCAAGATACTATCCAGAGTAATGGACTGACTCTGGAGTAAACAGACTTACCCCGTAGTACTCCAGAGTAGAGCCGTTACTCCAGAGTATGGCCGGTTCTCCAGAGTAACTGGGCTTACTCTGGAGTTCTCTGAACCACTCTGGAGAGCAATGTTTTACTCTCGCCACTCTGGCAAAAATCATGTTTTGCTGATGCCGGACAGATGAGTTTCCAAACAAGGAGGCCATCAAGGCGCTGTGTACATGTTCACGCAAACAATCAATACCTTGAACCTTCTCTGTGTCCGTAAATTAATAGGTGGACTCAGAGCCTTGGTATCGATGCCCAAGGCCCAGCCCGAGCTCTGGCAGGCCCGAGCCGAGGTCGGGCTTTAGCGGGCCCAGGGCTCAGGCTTCAGATTTTCCAAGCCCAAGCCGTGTCCGCAAGCCCGGGCCTCAGTATCCACCCCGAATTGGGGTATAACAGACCAGGGAGACTCTGTTTAACTCGGGAGAAACTAAGTACTCACCGATTTTAATGCAGTTTAATTTTTTCTTCACGGGTATTAGCAATTTTTGTCAACCATTTTTTGGCATCTTGCACAACATCCTGAGCTCGTGTAGGTCCCAAAGCATTATAAAATCGTCAAGTGGTCTGAATCTGTGAAGGGTTGTTCGACATGTTTTGAGTGCTATGTATCTTTGATGCAGACATAGATGGCCAAGCCCTACTGGCGGGCTTGGGCTCGGGCCTGACGAATCTCCAGCCCAAGCCCGCTCAAGCCGGGGCCAGACCCGGGCTTTCAGGCCAAGCCAGGCCCCGGGCATCACTAGGTATCGCATAGGCTAGAGCCGGCAACGTACTTGTCTCGACACATATAATGAAAGCCAATCTATTCATCAACGAATTTATTGCATCTGGACGAAACTATTAGCTACATGAGGTATCAGGACCGAACACGACATGGAAAAATGAATCGCGAAAATGTCACTCCTGGATTGTTCGGGGAAGGTTTCAGAATGTGTAACAGCCGGAAATTAAAGATTCCACGAACCTAGACGCACATATCATCGTTGTCTACCTCGATGCCCTCCCATGGCGAGTAGGGTTCCGGGGGGTCAGAACAACGGTAGTCGAGCCACACCTCCAGTTCATTGGCATCGATAAGAGATTGCAGCGACGGCAGGATGTCCCACTCCATCTCGCGGTCTAGTTGTACGCTGACATACGTCAGGGGCACAAAAGCTCTTTGGGCGGGACCCGCCCGTGCCTGGATGAACCTGAGGAGTGCGTGATCTGAAACGGCGCTGAACTCGAAGAGCTGGAGGCACTGCAGATTGGGGCAGAGGACATCTTCGGGGCCAGGTTTGAAGTGACCGAGGAAGTCCGCATCTCTATCACTTGAGCCCGGCAGCTTGGGTTCGAAAAAAACCTCCAACTCAATGAGGAGGGCCATGTGCCGAAGTGCTTCAAGCAGATGAATACTCTGCAGCTCGTTGATCTTCAAGCTCATATATTCCAACGAAGGAATGAAGAGCTGAGACGGTTGGGGGCCGGTAAGAGATGAATATCTGAAGGAGCGAAGGTTCGGGAGTAATAGTTTCATAAAAAAGTCTTCTGCTGCGGTGCTGAAGCTTCGGCTGCTGATGTCGAAATGCCAGAGGTGAGGTAGGGTTACTGGGGCGAATGTGGGATGCCAATTTTCGTGGTCCCCCACATGTAGTTCACATGTCTCCAGGGCGGGACATCTCCGCAATACCACAAGCGCGTCACAAGTGGGGAAATGTAACTGGACATCCGAAGCGTGTTCCTCGTTACTGATCCTCAAATGTGTGAGCTGGAACCAGGGCAGGGGGAGATTTGGGAGATTGAATCCACTAGAGATAGATAAACTTCGGAGGTTAGACGCAGTGATGGGGAGATATTTCAAGGAAGCCGGCCAACGGTAAAACAGGGAGCTCCCGACAGTCAAGGTGTGTAACATAGGAAGATCTTCCGAGGACGGATGGGCATGGATATCGACCTCAGGGAAGGCAGGAAGAATGATGTGTTTCCAACGTAAGGAAAACGCGTCTATGGAGGCTAGAAGGGGGGCGCTGTCCGACTTGAAGTCCTCTACCAGGCGGAATTGGCATCTCTTGGACACAAAGAGAGAAATCGACAGTGGGAGTACTCCAGATCGCGAAAGCCAGGTGGTGATCGCCGACGCTACATCATTTATTCTGGAGCTGGTGGGGACGACGATGTGAAGAGACGCCCACAGCTCTGGGGTCGAGAGCGCGATATATCGCCAGTCGCTGCAGATTTGGCAAAGGAGTAGGGGCGACTGGGTCGGGCTCATGACAGCATTGTGGGCGGATGGCATACACGCGGTGAAGATGGCGCGAATGACATCCTCGGGCAACCTGCGCGCTGGAGATACCAGGGATAGATGGGCGTCGATGAATCTGTCCAGCTCCTCCCGTCGTCGCTCAAGCCTGTCCAGAACGATTTGCATCTCCTCGATCTCTTTCGTTAGATCCGCAGCCCGCTGACGCGGGCCCACCAGGAGATCTCGGATTCTCTGGCATTCGGTGTCTGAAGGGACTGCATTCGTGTGGAGGATGGACTGAAAAGGAGATTGCATCGCACTGAAGCTGGTTCAGTTCCGTTCGACATCCGAGAGCATCTCTTACCGTCACTGTGCGGTGGTGAGAGTAAGGTGAGAAGGACTGAGCACGCAATCGCCGCCCGGTCGCCGGGCCGCTCCGGGCGCCGGACCACCTTGTAGCCGACGGGTTCCATAAATGCCTAGAAAAAGCAGTAGTCCCAATTCATAAGGCCCTCCGGGCGCCCCTGGTACCGATACAGCCGACCGCTACCCGTGCCTCGGTTAATCCGACACCTTATTTATATCCCTCCTTCGAGGCCAATACATTTACATATAGCTGAGAAAGCGGTATTATATCTATATAAGAAAAGACGTGGTTTGTAGAGACAAAAGTGGCACCTGTGGGAGCGGTCAATGTCATTTGCTCCACAGTTTACCTGAATCTGCCGAGATGTTGAGTTTCTACGCAGTTGCTCCACACAGCTGTTGAAGTGCTATTTGTAATCGGCTCTAGGTTTGCCGCGATGTTATCCGACTGTCAAGATGTTGGTTTCTTGCCGATAACTGTTATGTTTATCAAATGAAAGTAAATTTGGGGAGGATTGAAGAGTTTGAAGGACAGTTGAGGAGCGGCTTCATGCAGGTGATGGCAAGTCTTAAGATGAAGGTGTTTGAACACGATGGAGTATGGAAAGCCGGAGCACCACGCTTTGAAACGAGTGATGGTATCATT